ATGAGATATCAAATAAGGAGACTCGACGTTGTGAACTGGATTTTCTCAAGGAGATGAAGGACAACTCTCATATCAAGTTAGCTTTTTATCAACGGAAAATGGCCAAGTACTACAATGCTAGGATGAAGATGAAGTCATTCCACCAGGGCGATCTTGTGTTGAGAAGGGTTTTCTTGTCTTCGAAAGAGCCTGTTCGTTGGAATGCTGGGGCCAAACTGGGAAAGTCCCTACCGTATCACCAATGAGGTTCGACTAGGGACATTCAAGATAGAATATCTAATCGGGAAGAAACAGCCCCATCCATGGAATGTTGAACATCTGCAAATGTACTACCAATGATTAGACTAACACTATTTTCCTGTAATGTCCAACTTTTGAATGCTTCTCACCATCAATGAAATGCACAACTTTTCGTAACACTGCGCGAGTGACTCATTCAATGATGAATCATTATTTATATGACGTCTGTCATATACTGCAAACCGATTAAGTAATTTGTCTATGGTGAGCCCATAATTTTTGTTGACCTCAAAAAGTGTACCTCCGGATGGTCAACAGATCCCGAGACCTCTCACGTTCGAACAAGCCATTTTCCTGCACACTAGGACAAATCGTTAGACACACGTGGCCTTCTCTGGTGAAGGTGGAGCCGACCGCACGCACTCTGACGATCAAGTCAATTGAAGAAGATCTATACGAGTGTGGGAGGGCTTTTATCGCGAGCCTCCAATATAAAGGAGGTTGGAATCGGGAGTAAAGAATATAGAAAGCAAATTTATAGTATCAAATTCTAAACTTGCATTATCTTTGGAATGACACCAAGTGTGAGCTTTTATAATGTGGGATGATGAATATGGACCATCGGATTGGAGGACACGTGGCTCTACCTGTGGCCTGAGGACTCCCGTTGCACCCATCAATCAATCAATCAATAATGAGGTTTAAATTGCAATGCTGACTTGTCATTTCCCATTTTGTAATTTACTGCAATGGATTAGACGAAGTAGGTCGGCTATGGCAGCGGTGTCAGGGGGCAGTCAAATAAGTCGTGTTGTTAGCTAAAATCCGAAAGATCTTCAGCCAATAACTCATTACCAATCTCGTTTCTTTCGCCTGGGTCCTTGTGGGATGGTTCATCTCCACATGTTCGGGTGTGTTGGTTCAGATAGGGATGGGTTCTATCTTAAGGGGTTTATCCATTCGGTTCGTCATCCCATGGGTTCGGCCGATAAAGGGTGCAGAGTGCCTATGGTTTCGCCTACCACGTGGTGTATTTTGGGCACCTGTTGGGAAAAGGGTATAACAATTGTCCCTGAAATCCGTGTATGAGTATTTATATAATGCGTAGACTTAAAAGGTTGGGGAGAAAGGAAAAAATGAACGTGGTATAACAATAATGAACTTAGACATAGTTAGAGTTATAGATTTGGGCCTAGTTTTCTAATGTCACTACTATATAAAAAGGGCAATGTTTCACTACTATAAAAAGAACAGTAAATTCTTCTATTTTGTCTCACTGTAGTTTTTTTTTTATTGAGAGAAAGCAACGACATCGTTTATCTTATAAATATAATTTTTATAAAGTAATATATTTTTATCAAATATAATTTTTATAAAGTAATATGTTTTTATAATTTTATTTTTAATAAAGTAATGTTATGAAGGTTCAAGCATGAGCCTCCATTATTATGGAGGCCTCCAAAATTATGGAGGCCTCCAAAATTATGGAGGCCATATATATATATATATATATATATATAACAATTTTTTTAAAAAAATTTAAAAAATTTTAATTATATTATTATTATAATATTATTATTATTTATTGGCCTCCAAAATTCTGGAGGCTCATGAAATTTTAATTATATTATTATTATAAAATTATAATAATATAATAATAATTATTATTATAATAATATAATATTATTATATACACGGAGGCTCAAGCATGAGCCTCCGTGTTTTGGAGCCTTCGTGTAACGGAGGCTCATGTTATGGAGGCTCAAGACATGAGCCTCCGTGTTTTGAGCCTCCATAATAATGGAGGCATCATGATGCCTCCATTATTATAATTATGTTGATGCCTCCAAAATTATGGAGGCTCATGCTTGAGCCTTCATAATTGTTATGGAGGCTTAAGCATGAGCCTCCACAACATATTATATATTAAAATTAATAAAAATTTAATTATTTTTTGTTTTTTAGTACTATTATATTTCACTTTCCGAAAAATAAAAATAAAAATCGTTAAAACATATTACTTTATAAAATTTAATTTTAAAAATTATATTTGATAGATTATGTAATTTTGAAACACAATTTAACATATTAAGATTAGAATCATTTTATAATAAAAATGAAATGATAATAAAAACTCATTTCTCGAAAAATAAATATATTCATTTGTTAATAAATAAAAACATTATTTTTATATATGTACGTAAAAGGTATATAGTAACCATTTGGATGACCAAAAAATAATATCAATCAAAATTTTTACTAACCATTTAAATAATAGTTTATCGAGGGGGGTTAATTCAAGAGTAAAAGTGTGAATTCCATAAAATATATGTAAAAAAAAATTCGCTTAAAGTTATTTAAAAAAAAAAACTTACAATTGTAAAGATTACTTGTAACTTAACAATTTATTAACTTAAAAATTTGGAGTAAATATTTAAATATATTTTATTTTTCAAATTAAATATTAACTTATATGTTAAATAGATGATCTATAAATAAAATATCCTTTAAATAAAAAAATATATCAAAAGAATCTCTCCATATATATTATGGATGAGATCAAGCTTGCGTATCACGGAGGATTTTCCTCCGTAATACGGAGGCTTGTTATGAGAGATCAAGTCTCTTATTATGGAGAGATCAAGCCTCCGTATTACGGAGGAGTGAGACTTCTAAGCATGGAGAGTAATTTTTTTCTTTGAATTTGTTTATTAGTAATATTTTTATTTGTTGATATTTTTTGCTATCACTATTTATTTCCAACAATCACTTTTATGTAAGAAATTATTAAAAAATAAAAATACAGACAAAATATTTGTAAAATGTAATAAGTTACTTATAAGTAAAAAAATCTACAATTTTGACGCTAATAAAAATACAATAAATACAAAACTCGTACAACGCACGTGTCAAAGACTAGTATTTATTATAAAATGAACCTCAAAGTTTTAAAGAGGTTATGTAGGCAAGCGAAGCTTCATATTGAAAATAAGTCATTCACAATTAAATTTAAATGGATTTGAATATACATTAAATGGATGTTTAAACGATATTCTTGAATGATAAATTAGACAAATAAATTTATATTTATTTGAATGAAAATGCATTTTTAAATAGTATATTGATGGAAAATGTGTTATTAAAAAAAAAGGAAATGTTTTGGATTTGCATGTAATATTATTTTATTAAAAAATGTGTGATTGAAATAATATCAACTCACTTTTGAAAAATGTATTTTTTTTTCAAATAATGTGGCTATTAGGAATTAAAACATAAAATATATGATAATTTCATATTATCTCAATCACACTATATTAAGAAAATTTGTGATAAGTTCAAAAAATATGATATCATTCCTATTAAAACATCAATTGATGCAATTAGCTTCTTGTTTCAAACGTTGGTGAGTATAAGTCTCAGTTAGAATACTATCGTATTATTGGCAATTTAATGTATGATTGTATGTCATGAATTGCACGCGACTTGATTTGCCTACTTATAAATAGGCTAAGTTGGTATACGAGTAACCTCGACACAATATTCAAAAGCAATTATTAGAGTTTTAGAATGTTCAAAACATACAAAAATTTTGGATTACAGTATGAAAAATATTTAATAATATTTTAAGGATATTGTAATGCGAATTGGATATTTGATACCGAGGATTTCAAGTCTAAAAAATGGATATGTCATACTTGAAGGTGCAAAAATATCGCGAAAATCTTCAAAATAAACATTTATAGCTAGATTAACAATAGAATTCGAATTCATTGCGTTGGATAAAGTGAAGGTAGAAATCGAATGACTAGGAAACTCTGTAGAAGATATTTAGGGCTATATAAATCAAGATTTGCTATATATATCCATTGTGATAGTTGATCAGTAATTTGAAATAGCAAATAATACTATGTATAATGGTAAATTTCGATATATAAGTTGTAGACATAATATTGTTAGACTATTGTTCTTTTCTAGTATTATTTCTATACATTATGTGAAATCTAAAGAAAATATATATAGATTCATTAAGTAAAGGTTTGATGAGAGAGCAAGAGCAAGTCGAAAGTTTATCAAGGAGACGGCATTAAAACCTATGAATCAGTAAACAATAACTTTCCTAGTGGCAACCTAACTAAGTTGACTAGACATTTCAATATCAAGATTCAATACGGCAACCGATCCGTGAAAAATTCAGTACGCACTGGGGAGATTTTATTACTTCTATCCATTTATATGACGAAAAAAATCAGTATGCACTGGATATGATTACTCATTTCTTGTTTGATCCTGTTGATCGTTATCCTGTTTTCCTTAGTGTTACAGCAAATCCTGATCTTTATCTTTCGGGATTAAAAGAAGGCAACTACTCTTGTACTTCAGCTGATCCTGTTCCTGAGTCACAGTTGCCAATGGACAAATGCATGTGTACTAGACTTCATATTTCGGATTGAGTTAGTCCATATAATAATCGGATGAATTAAATTGTAACTTTTCTGATTCAAAATGACAAAAGAACTGGAAAACAGTAGGAGCCCTAAAGAGTAAGGTGCAAGGCTTCTTCCTACTCAAGCAAGCATTTACACTCATAAGGTAAACCGAAGCACAGAAGGAGCTGGAAAAGTAAGTAGCCACATACTGCTACAATACATAAATGCGATCTTCATACAAAATTTTACTCACAATTTGCATTCTTTTTTTATGTTCTGGGATTTGATATCCTCTTACTAAGATTTTAATACTATGTTGGTATAATTATAAAATTACGGTGAGAATTATTTCCAATATTTAAAATAAAGTATTTGAGATTATGTCCATAACACATAAATCATTAAAACCAACAGCATCTCAAAATAAACTTAATAAGACTTATGCTTCCATTCTTACCACATAGATAAACATGAACTTGATAAGGCATCGAAATTACACCTCTTTCACTCCCACAGCTGCAGCAGTTTCTTTAACTTCCTTAGTAGCAGCAGCAGAAGCATTGGCTTCATTCTCCTCCTTCACATCCTTTGGATCCTCTTTGATCTCGAAAGCCGACACCGGAAAGGTCCGGAACAGGCCGGTCGGGGTCTTGAATGTGATCTTGCCGGTTGGTGGATCGTCTACGTAAATTTCATTGAGAGTGATCCACACCAGTAGCTCCTTGGCCTTGACCCCTGTCAGTTTCTTGATCTTGTTTGGCTCAACATAGGCTGTCACTTCTGTTGCATACTGCACCAGCCTCCCAATTTCCTTAAACTTGTGCTCAATCTTCTTCTTCTGTTTTAGCCAAACAAACCCTGTGTCCTTCACGTACCCACATTCTTCTATGTCCTCCAATGGCAGAAGGCCATTCGGCAACCCAACTTCCGTCAGCAAAAACTTGGATTTTACTTTGCAGATATCATTTCCAGTGTAGAACTCTGTTGCAGAGGATCTAATCTCGTCTGTGATTAGAGACATTTTTTGTTCTTCAATTTGCTTTGTTTTTAGCAGAAGAAATATTTGTGTTTGAGAGAGAAGGGGCAAGTGGTGCTAATATATAGTAGGGATCTCTTGGAATTTACCCTTGGCTTTGTAAAAGAATTGCTAAAATACCGTTATTTATAGATTTTATTTAGGGATAGGTAGAGCGATGCATTGTATTCAACGTTTCAAAATTCCGTTCGAGCACTCATATCAGAGAAAATAGCCAATGTTTATGGGTATATTGAACCGAAGTATCAAATATAATTATAAACATTCATACTGATTTAAAAAAGATAAGTTCTTAAATATAAAAACAAAAATACCTGCCTTGCAGCATTTTTTTTTTATTTTTTTTGGCACCTAGTCAAGTCTAGGCGTGCTTGCTTTACTCTTTTTTATGCTTTAATTATTAAATAATTTTTAGATTGATTTAGAAATTTAAAATAATATTAAAAAAGAATTTTTTTATTTTTAGTTTTTTATGTCTAGGTTTCACCATTCTTTACGTTTTTTAGAACACGAATAGCTATGCAATTTTTACATCTATTACGCTTTTAGTTATTCAAATTCTACTAAAATTTCAGTTAATTCAATCAACTTCAATATGTTATAATCAAATTGATCAACTTCAATTTTAGTGCACAATACATTAATTTAGTCTTATTTAGTAATATTGACGTTGGATTCCTATAAACGTCATTATTCAACGTACCATATGCATGTAATAAATTATTAGTAAATATATAATACAAATTTACACACATAGTTGGCAAAACTAAAATTGCATTTGGTCAATTATCTTTCAATTGTGTTAGGGACATATTACTTAAAATCAATATTCAAACATAATTTCAAGTGACACTTCACTTAGGGTAGTGATTGGTGTACAGGTAGGGGTACACAGAACCTCTACCGACACCTCACATGGATGGGATGAGTGAGTGAATTTTTTGACATTATTTATTTATACGAGGTCCACACTTTGTGAGGTCTCTGTAAAATTTCTGTAGGAAATTTTTCTGTATACCAAACATTTTCCCTCCACTTAATATGTAACTATCCACTAAAAGCAAGTAAAACAATTTCTTATGTTGCACTCATTTTCTAGCATTCCATATGGTGATAAGTATGTATGCATAGTCTATTTGTTTAATTTCATAGTCATTAATTTTTTCTTCACTTATAACCAACTTAATAATAGCATTTTGTGCACATAATCTAACATGAAAAATAGTAAAGTCCTCCCATTGCTTTTCATTGATTAATTAAACTCAATGCTATCGGTGTTACTAGTTAATGCTTTTCATTCTCTCAAATCTTCTTCCTTGGTACTCCTTTTTTTTCTTCTTCTTTTATTTAATATATTCTGTTAATTATTATTATATCCATGTTAAGCGTAAGGCGCACGATGTTCCAATGATTAGGTATGCCTTTTATAATAAGGACAATGCTACGTGTACATAACCGTTTAAATAAGGCATTACACTCCTGACTCCCCTCACATGTGTGGGCCCCCCTCCATGTGGGGAGGTGTAAGGCTGCATATACACCTCAAGATGTACACATAGTATTATTCTTATAATAAAGTATATTTTTCTTGTACTTATGGCTGAAGTTTCTTTATTTGGCCCTTACACTTTATCCATGGCTTCGATTCCTGATTTTTTTTATCAAACAGCGGAGCCTATTTTACACACCATCAATGAGGTTGGATGAGGAGAGTTCGATCAAGTCATTTTGTAGTATGGTTTAAAAGGAGGGTCAAATTTAAGACAGCGGTTGCTGCACATTAAGGTGGAATTGAAAGTAAGGACAGAGGTGGTTGGATGGTGAGCTAATAACTAACTATGGTTGAAAGGTAGGTCAAAATTTATGTGTAGGTGAAGAAGACGAGTCTATTTAAAATCAACTGATCGCGTCTTTTCAACAATCTATTTGAAGAGCATGACTTATTATTATGCCTGTTCGGTACCAATTAAAATTTTAATTTTAATTTAAGTCAAAATCAACAATTCATTTTAAACACATATTTTATTGGAGACCATAACTTTTCAACCACACATTTCATTAATTTTTATTAAAATCTACTAAAAATCTAATTTTAATTCCTATCAAACAGGGACATATACGCGTGTCGTAATGTACCACACTCTCATTATGTACTTTTAATTGTCAAGTCACAATCTAAATTGCTTGTCACTGTTTTGGTGGTTGTGAACATCAGAGTAGGTGGTTCGAGTAAATAACCTTAAATTTTTTTTTGTTGACAAGGGAACCCGTAGCCGCTACCTGAAGGTGTGCACTAGGTAAACCCCGCCTTGTGATCCTAGCCGGCAAAGGAGCACAAGGAGGTAAACCAGCCTAGGTTACCCATAGTTGACCGGCTCAAACCAAGAAGGCCAATAGACAGCTCCAACGGGAATCGAACTAGCAACCTCACGATTGCTAGTCCAACTGCCCGACCAACTTGGCTGGGGTTGCCCCCGAGTAAATAACCTTAAATTCTTACTATGAATGGTAGATTCGAGCCTTATTTCATGTGGTTTCAGCCATTTAATGTTGCTACATTATTTACCCAAGGAAAATTTTACAGCATAGGTCATAAGCCTTTCAAACATATGCAGTACGGTTCCAAATCTTTAAATCCTACATCCCAAACTTTTCAATAAATAAGCGCGTGAAGGATATTTGGTTTACATCTGTTCAAATGATGGTCAGTTGATCAAAAGTCAAGTGTATCAAGTTTAAAAGGATAAAATGGTAACTCTACATCTTCACGTAAATTAAATAAAATAGTTTAATGAAAAAAAGATAGATATTTTTTCATCTTCCTGACTCGCGTGTCATTATGCCCATTTAAACATATCTATCCGTACATGCACATATTTCTTTATGTAAATCTTTTTTTTTCTAATGGTTTTTCTGCTCAAATTTTTATTGAATTATGCTATCTAGCGCCAGAGACATTTAACGGCAGTGGACATTCACCTAAACTTGTCCGATAAATTAAAATGTATTTTAACTTGATTGAATTATTAAAAGTAGATCTCAACTGCCATCTAAATTTGTTTTAATCACCCCAACGCTAATAACATTACTCATGAATTATTTGCATGATTGAATTAGTATTTATGAGGCAGTGCGTGGTACGATTATTGTTGGCTGCATTTATGGGGGAACTCATGAAACCGGTTGAGTACAAAGAATTCTTGCTCTCATGGCATGGCTACTTAGGACACCTTCAACCATATACCTCACAAATTTGGTGCAAGAATTCACTTCAATCATACACCAATTTGGTGCAATGAATATTATTTCATTAAATGTGTTGTAACACTATTGATTTGATTTTTCATAAATGTGGAATTAAGTGTAATTTTTTTAATTTATTAATAAATGTAAAATTTTAGTTAATTAAATATAAAATAATTTTAGTAATAGTATAAATTCTAATTAGATAATTTTTAAAATAAATTAATTGTTGAGTATTAAAAAATAAGGGAATAAAGGAAATAATGTTTATTTGGTGTAATATTCGGTATAATGGTTAAAGATGACTTTATAAAATAGTGTGCAAGTTGCACCAATTTTGTGCTAATGGTTGGAGATGGCCTTACACAATCGTCGATTCATTTCATAAAAAATGGTGTAATTTTCACATCAAAATGGTGCAATTTTGGTACTATCTTATTTAGTTATTTCCAATACATTATACCAAATATTACATCAAAAAAATATTCCCTTTCTTTCCTTATTTTTAGTTCTCAACAACTAATTTATTTCAAAAATTATTTAATTACACATTCTATTACTACTAAAATTACTACATGAAAACATATTAAACTAACTAAAATGTTGCATTTGTAATAAATTTTAAAAAGGCCTTACACTTATTTTTTTAAGAAACATAATTACATTTAACATCACAATATAAAAAAATTACATATAATGTAAATGGATATAATAGAAATAAAATTTTTTGTTGTATAAAATGAAGGACAAAATGAAAAATAATTAAAAAATTATTTATATTACTCCAAATGAACATCATAATCATCCAACCGGTAATCGAAGTGATCCAATTGTAAGAACAGAGCTATACCTGTAAGGATTTTTAATTAAAGTTAGGCTTGTATGTGTGAATAATTGTGCGTTAAACTTTAGGCTATCGAATTAGGTTGAGCCCAATTAAAGTGATCTAATAAGGCTTCGGTTTTGGGCTTTAATGTATCCAGTTAAAGTATGGATTTACATATGTGTAGAGACCGGGCTCAAATCCTAATTTTATGATGGGCCGAATTAGGTCAAAGGACATCTCTATATAAATAGGTTATGATCCCCAGATCACACGCAACATATTATTCATTCTCTACTGCATCCCATCACAGAGAGAAAAAGGAGACTGCGTGTAGATTTGGAAGACTATACCGTGAAATTCATATTGCATTAACCATGTCTGATTCAGGTACGCTTCCACTTTAATTCTTGTATTTCTTGATGATTTAACATGAAAGATCCAATAATTTAAAGCACTAAATTATTCAACAAGTGGTATCAGAGCATCTTCATGTTGAATCATTGAGAATCAAATAATTTATTTTGGTTCTTGCAATATTTTATAAAATTTTCAGATTTGATGATTTAGGATTTATATTTTGTTGAATTTGAAAACTTTTGCGGTGTAATTTTTTGTTATTTTCGTAATTCGGATTAATAGTTAAGAAAATTCAGATTTGAAATTCGGATTTTGGTTTCAGATTTCGTGCGGTGCCAGCGTGGGCCGGTGCTGCTGTTCTTGGCGACGGCGACCGCCGGCGCCGATAGGAGAAGAAAGAGAATATTTAGGGTTTTTTCAGTTTCTGGATTTTTTGGGGCGGGGGCTTCCTCTGTAAATTAGATAAGTTAAGGCCCCTGGATGCAATTAGGGTTAGAGTTATAAAATTAAGGTTTCAGTCCCTAACCTTTAAGTTATATTAAGTTTTGGACCTTCAGGTTTCGGATTTAATAATTCAGTCCCTAAGGTTTTAAAATTAATTAATTCGGGCCATTAAAGTTCTGAATTTATAATTAAAGCCCTCAAAATT